TGTATCCATGATCACCATTGTTTCGATACCTAACCCTTTTTAAAAACATGGGCTGTATCGCCAGCCTTTTTTTTAACGGCGGCTGTTGGAGGCCAGGATTAATTACATGGGTCTGTACACGACTGAGGCCAGGATTAATCATGGACATGATTATCGTACTTAAGTGATGATCATATGGGAAAGATACGGTAAGATTCGAAGATTCACAATGTGGGGCTGTGTGTAATCCAGATTTAATAGGATACCGTCACAGGATTGCTGCTGGGAGTGAGATCGACGAGGAACCGATGAGGAAGAAAGCTTGGAGTCTTGCAGAAGTAGCAAAAGAGAAAGTGGTTGTATTTGTCCCATATAAGATGTGACAAGTAACGGTTCTTGATCAACGTCCACTGTAACGGCCTTATCTCCTCCATCCTTCACTCGGCCGCCACTCGAGTCATCCACTTGACCAGAGGAAGGAGTGACTCGCTCTTCCCCTCCCTCACGCTCCCATCATTGACTAGACGCTTCGGCCGTCGACGCCTTCAGAGTCGTGGCCAATCCCTTCAGAGTAGCGATCTCGGGACACTGAGAGACACTATGACCGATCTGGTGGCAGTAGAAACACCGCATCGTCGAGTTTCCTCCTCCGTTTCCACCGCTAGGCGGGCCACGGACCCCGGTATACGGCATCTCACACTCAGCCACAATATGACCGTACTGGTTACACCGTCGGCAAGTCATCGTTTGACGCGAACACGTCACGCGAGTGTGACCCTTGTAGTCGCATCGGCCACAGACAAGTTCTCCTTCTTGCGTGTGGGCATCCTCCGCCATCTTGATGCCTCGACGGGCACGATTACCTCCGAACGGACCAGCTCCACCAGCGGGAGGGAGCTGTCCGTGGCCTCCGGAGCTCGGCACCACCGCCGATACAGTAGGCACCGCAGCCGGCGGCACGGATTGCAAATCTTCCATCACCTGGTGTTGCCATTCCTGCTGCTGCAACAGGAAGTCGTCCAGCTTCTGGGTTAGAGCGTTCACAGTCGCCGTGTGACTATCAGTCCTCGCCCGCGACTCGTCAGGAAATTCGTCGTCTTCCTTCACAGGACGATGCATGTCCTTAAACATTAGCCACTCGCACGCCTCCGGAATATCTCGAGCCGGGCTTGAATCTAGAGCAGCCAGCATCCTCTTGGTCTTCAGGCCACGACCGAACAACTGATACCGCATCTGAGGGTTCGGATAGTCGAGGGAGTCGCACAGATCCGTGGCTCGGTCTCCCCATTCCTCCACTGACTCGCCACGTTCACGCTGAGTGGAGTACAGTCTCTCCCAGAGCTCGTCAGCCGTCCTGCTGAGAACCCGGTTGTGGAAACGCACCTTCAGCGTCGCGAACGACTTGATGCTGGAGTTGCTCCACCATCTTTCGGCCTCACGTCCCTTCAGCTTCTGTCGGAAAACCAACAGTCGCTCTCTGTCTGGCAACCGGTCAGTGTGGTACTCGAACAGCTCCCAGAAGTCGCGCGCCTTCTCCACCGTAGCCGTGTCCGAGTAGAACATCGGCAGCACCTTCATCACAGTCGACATCTTTGAGGTCCAAGAGCACGCGCGACGAGCTACGGGCGGCTGGAGAAGGCCGGTTGGAGGTGACGGGTGGCGTCAAAGACGCGGTCAAGGTAGAAGAAAAGGTGTAAACGGAGCCGGCGCCCGGTACGGAGGCGGTGTCGCCGGGCCCGGACGAGGTACCCCTGGTGGAGGAGGACGTAGAGCGTCCGGATCAGCAGCGGCTGTCACTCCCACAGGAGCCTTCTCTTCCTCATCTTCATCTTTTACATCCTCCGTCTGAGAGGCTCCCTGACTCTATCCTTCTTCAGCCGCCTCTCTGGCAGCGGACCGCCTCAGGTCCTCTTCATAGTCGTCTTCCACGTATACCGACATGACACTCTTCTCCAATGCTTCCCTCGTCAAACTCTTGTTCCCAATACTACCTTATGCGCCCCTGGGCTTGATACCAGGAATTCCGCGCAGAATAAACTCCAAACTTCACACTCCCTTATGCGCCCCTGGGCTCTATACCAGGAATTCCGCGCCGAATAAACTCCAAACTTCACACTCCCTTATGCGCCCCTGGGCTCTATACCAGGAATTCCGCACCGAAAATCACACTCCAGTCCCTATGCGTCCGGGCTCGATACCAGACCTCCTTGCACTACGGGATCACACTCCACGACGTCTCCGACGGTTCTTCTTCACAACGAGGACCACTACCCTGCTTCTCCACCACGTGTCGCGAGCCGTCCTTGGATGGGACGGTCGACGCTGTATAGAAGTAGAACAGTACGGAGATATAAACAGAAGCAACAAGCTAAAGACAAATGTCAACACAAATTCTTTTCTGCTTGTTGTCTCCAAGGAAAATTCACGACTGATCTCTTTCCTTCTTCCTTGCGGCCCGCACTTCGTCCTCCATGGTCCTCGTTCCCGCCGTCAGGCACCGTTTCGCAATCATCGTCCACGATTTTGTACACCACGACAGCGAGGCGGTACCGCTCACCCCACCGCCTCACCGCGAAGATACACTGTCCTTCAGTAGCTCCGGTCCCCCATGACTTCCGTCCTCGTCATCCACGGGGACCGTACGCTCTAGCCGCGCTTGTCCCACGGAGACCGAGGCCGGCCCACAACTTCTCAGCGACTCCGTCGTGGCCCTGCATGGCTTCATCGAAAGCGTGGCCCACACGAATCTGGTCGGCCGTCGAAAAGTGCGGAGGAGGGTAACGGAACTCACCGTGCCCAAGACGATGGCCGCCAGAACCACTCGTGACACTGGCATGGATAGCGCAATATTCGCTTTTTTTGCCTCTGGCGGCCGCCCAAGT